CCCACAAGACAAATGGTCTGGGTCCTCCCCTGCGTGTTTCTATATCATTTCGACGTCACTTTGAAAAGTTTAGTGACAAAAACTCGACCAACTGAAAGTATAGTAAGCAATTAAGTACGCTTTGTTTACTTGGACTATCCCTCTTTCGTGATTGTGTATTTAATAGTGGTGGGATGCCAACTGTGAAATCCATCTGTCAAGTTAGCTATTCCATTAAAGACGCGAAATAAAAGTGATTCCAGTGAGTAATGTCCGACACTTTGAGAAATTTAGTGGCCAAAACTCGACTTCTTAAATTATAGTGAGCAATCAAAGACGTCAACCTAAATTTAGTGATTATTGGGGCAATTTACTTGTTTTTTCTCTATCTTTTGATAAACTGAAATCTATTATTCTATCACATTGCTATACCGCAACTGCACCATTAATATAATATTATCCTACTAAGTAAAAGTAATCTTTTTAAAAAAAGAAAAGAAAAATCTGTACAAATATGTTTTTTTAAGGGGGGCAAATCGCTCATTCTCCGTGTGTTTTAAGACCCAACTAGAAAATGACGATAGGGTTAGGATATCCCAATATATATTGAACTTGTTACGTAAAAGCGAGAATAGGGAGTAAAAAAATTAAGAACAAGAACACATAGATTTACATATAAACCCTAGATAAGAAAAAAACCACGGACAGAACAGGAGAAAATCCATTATATAAAAAATGAGTACAAAAGAAAAGCGTTTTGGGAGGATACTCCGAATAATATATAGAAATCCTAAAATACGTGTGTATGAGAAAAAATAAAATAAAACAGGTTCATGCCTACCTCACATCCAAAAAATAGAGTAGCAAAAGAGAGTAAAGCTCTATAACACTTTTTAAGGATACTGTGTCAGTCAATCTAAACCAGAGTGCCTAACCATTGAGGATCGAAGGTCAAGGGATCCATTTGATAGTTTTCATGAAATAAGCCAAGGTATACACAACCCTAATCAAATTTATTGTTCTCTCGGATGTTTAATTTAGGAAGAATTGATGATAATTATCACGTTCATCGGTGTTACCGGAACTATTCAATATTTTAAAAAATAAAATTCGTATCATAATAATAAGTAATTAAGTATTTGTCCTCAGTTGCCTTAGATATATTATTGTAATTTACTCAAAGAAAATATCATCTTACACTTCTTTCATTTCTCTTTCCTCAAAATTGTAGAAGATATAAAATAAATTAGAATAATAATTTTAGCGAGTTGGAAATGGATAGGGAGAGTAAGGAATAAAATACAAATGGACAAAAACACTGAACCTCCATTTGACAAATTTATAAACACCCCCAGGGCACATCTCCAAGTGGTAAAAGGAAGGTGAAAAAACTCCAGTTTTGTTTGAGGCTGTCGCGTCAAGGGTTCGAATTCTGAAATATAGATTTAGCCCTTGGGTAAGTGCAAGTGTACAAGAAGCCTTCCACCCTGTATCTTTAGAGGCATAACCTGCTATTTACCTCTTTCACCAAGGCCCAGGATAGGTGGGGGCCGTCAAGGATGTGACTTATCCTTTTTTTATAAATGATTTATAAACAAAAATAGTAACGTATAATTAGTCACGTCTCACAGTTGACCACTTAATCTCTATGTACCATTCCTGTATGGGTATCAGAAAATGAAAATAATTGTCAGATATTAAAATTTCATCCCTATGAAACCTCCTCATGGTTTTTTCGATCATGCCAAAAAGCACAACTTCATCCTTCGAGTCAATAGGAGGCCACTTTATGCAAATTACTTCAAAGGTCCTACAACATGAATATCAGGTTGCATGACCAACGTCCCTGTTTGCCAATTGATCAAAGTGGGGTTGTTGATTGCCATTTACTTTCAAAATTTACATTTCTTAGGCTTAGAATGATGTATATCCGAATATCCCGACTTTTTCTGATCATCAGTGGATAGCACAAAATGAATGTAACTATTTCAAGCCACTGATTGTTTTAACTGCATCTGTTCCAGAAACACATTCATCCTCTAAAAATGGAATCGTCTTCCACACTTTCAACTTGACTGGAACAGTTCTTTTGCCTACAAAAAAACATACTACATCAAACTTTTCTCTATAGATTTTTCCCGCAACTCGTACTAAATTCTGAGTAATACCTTCAATGGCACCATTGTTTTCCCTGCAAATGGCTGCATAATGAGAACCAGCCAACTCTAAGAGCAAAAACACCCAAAAAATTTAAAATACAATAGGATCCTGCTCTTTTAAGTAATCTAGCATGCAACTAGCGGTTGAGGACTCGGGAAAATTGGTGTCAAGTGAAACACGCTATTTTGCACACAGAGTTCCAATGTTCAGGAATATGAACGGGTTTTTCGACACCAAAATATTAATACATCAAGATGTGAACTTTTTTCCTTTTCCTCTTCCGTTTGGTAAATAATCAGCATGTGCCTTCAAGCTTATTCAGAAATTCTCTCTCTTCTTTTCTTTCATTTTTTCCCTGGATTTCTTTCCAAAAATTTGTGATTATTCTTTTTTCCACTTTTTCCTTCAGAAACAAAGACGTGGCCAGAATGATATTTTTTTTTCTTCAAAACAAAATCTACAACGAAGAAGATACAAGACAGATGACATGGCCAAGCATTTAAAAAATCTCTACCTTATGAGTTCAATCCAGATACTCCATACTCAATTTCAATCTAAATGAGTGAGAGGGTATGCGTAATCTCAACACTTCACATTCAATTTCAGAAAAAGTCAGAATATAAATTCTCCAATGGATTTAAGCCACCTCCACCTTTAATCCGAATAGTAAATGTCTAGAAAGGTGCACCAGGACATCCCTTTCCTAGTGCTTTGACATACGCCTCCTGGAAATAAATTGACTTCAAGTGAAAAACTGTGAACTGGAGAAGAGCATTTCGATTAAGATTCATTAATCAATGGGTCCATGAAAGAAGTTAGAAGAACTGAAGAAAGAAGATGCTCGACAACGATAAGTTGAGTAGCTTGAGTGTCCATAATTTTACAAATTCCTGGCGTTGAACTTCCGGGTCCAAAATATCAGCTAAGAACTGAACTTCATCTTTAGATAAGTATCGTTCAGCAAAAGACAAGATATTGTGTTTTATAGTTCTGTGCTTTTCTTCCATGTCAATGCCAATCTATATCAACAGATAGGCCTTTCCAGTTCATCATAGCAGCAGCTAAAGAAATGAAAAATTAAAGCAATTAAGTTATCAAACCAATTGCATAAACCCTATAATGAGAATGATCACAGTACTAACTTGAGAATTGATGGTTACTCCACAAGCTACCAAAGAAGAAATGTTGGGAAATTATTTAATTTTCCATGATGGGCCAACATATGTAGTTAACTGTGTATAAA